CATCTGACCTCGCCCCACAGGTAGCAATAAAATGAAGTCTTATTTGACAGTTCCAAGTTGAAGTGGCTAGTATTGACATCCAGAATTGTGAATGCTAGTCTGAGATTTACTAATACAAACACGCCAAAGCATCAATGAGGGAAATGGTTTAGGAGAACAGGAGAGTCACCTTAAGAAGACCAGGAGAAGCTATCAAAGGCACTTTCTTACCCAAGAAGCTTATGAAAGATGAATGAGAAGAAAAATTCTGTGTGATTATTGTTGGTGATAATTGCTGCTCAGTTGATTCTGACTCATAGTGACCCATGTGTTCAGGGTAGAACTGTGTTCCATAGAGTTTACAAGGTGTGATCATTGGAAGCATGTCAACTTCCATTTTCCAAGTCACTTCCTATTAGGTTTGATCCACAAAGCTTTTAATCAATCCATTTGTACTGCTCAGGGACTACTTTCATATGTTCAGGATTCAAGAATTCTTTACTCCTGCACCAGCTCAAAAACTTCAAGACCCATTGTTCCTATTATTGAACACATGGTGTTCTCTCCAGAAGTCTTTGTAGAGCCTTCTTGATGTCCCTGTTCCTCAGGCTGTAGATGAAAGGATTCAGCATGGGGGTGACCACAGTGTACATCACTGAGGCAACCAAGCCCTTCAAGGAAGAAGGTGATACTCTGGAACCAAAATAGACCCCAAGGCCTGTCCCATAGAATAAAGAAACCACAGACAGGTGAGATCCACAGGTAGAAAATGCTTTATACTTCCCATCAGCCGATGGGATTCTCAAAATGGAGGAGATGATTTGAGTGTATGAGAAAAGGATCCCTGAGAAGGGAACAAAACCCAGAAGGCAAGTTACCGTATATAGCAGGATGTGATTTACAAGTGTATTGGAGCACGATATTGTGAGGGCCTGAGCAAGTTCACAGTAAAAGTGATGTATTATCAACTTAGAGCAGAAAGAGAGCCGAAGCACCAGCAAACTCTGCACAAGAGAGTACATCAAGCTGATAAACCAGGACACAAGGACCAGTAGACCACAGAGCCGGGGGTTCATGATGACTGGGTAGTGCAGGGGGTGACATATAGCTACAAACCGGTCATAGGCCATCACAGTCAGGATACATGTGTCCATGCCTCCAAATACCAAGAAAAAATATATCTGGGTGATGCAGCCTGCATAGGTGATGGATATGCTCTGGGTCTGGATGTTCACCAGCATCTTGGGGATGGTGGTAGAGGTGAAACAGATGTCAGCCAAGGACAGGTTGGAGAGGAAGAAGTACATGGGGGTATGGAGGTGTGAGTCAGAGATGATGGCCATGGTAATGAGTAGGTTTCCAAAAACAGTGACCATGTACATGGACAGGAACATTCCAAATATGAAGGACTGCTTCTCTGAGTCCTGGGAAAATCCCAGGAGGAAAAATTCTAAAGCACTTGTTTGATTTTCTGGTTCCATGTTGATGATAAGTCAGCTAATTGAGGAGAGAAAAAACAAGCCAAACAAAACATGAAGTAGATACTGGAAAGATTCTAGATTCTCCTTGACAATCCTTCTTTAATCTAAGCCTTGGGTATACAAGCCTACACATTATAACATTTAGGAAACCTATATTCTCTTTCGTTATATGCATTATTTCATAATATTGACCAAGTCCTCTCCCTTAGTTTATGTAATATTCATCTATCCTGTTTGTCTCAGATTTAGAATCACCAGATCTACATATTTAAGGGCACTTTGGAGCATGGATATAAAATGGTCACACACACACACACACACACACACACACAAATAAACAAACGAAAAATTTAAAAAACTGTAACATATGTGTGGGGCCTTATGAACCTTAATAACGAAGCAAGGTGATCTGCCTTTCCTGGAGGCAGAAATATGACTCATACAGGTTTGAATAATCATATCTGAGATGTAAAGATACTTGAAATATGGGTTCATATCTCAACAAAGTATTATGGGATGAATAGGCTTTAGGTAGTGTAGTGGTTATGCAGTGGTTCTCAACTTTCATAATACTGTGACCCTTTAATACAGTTCCTCATGTTGTGGTGACCCCCCCAACCATAAAATGATTTTTGTTGTTACTTCATAACTGTAATATTGCTCCTGTTATGAATCAGGTAACCCCTGAGAAAGGGTTGTTCGACCCCCAACAGGGTCACGACCCACAGATTGAGAACTGCTGGGTTATGCATTGGGCTGCAATAGGCAAGTTCAACCATTTGAAACCACCAAGCACTCCACAGGAAAAGGATTGGGTTTTCTACTCCCATAAAGAGTTACAGTCTTGGAAAATCACAGAGGTAGATCTACCCTGTCCTGCAGAGTCGTTCTGCATGGGCATTGACTTGATGCTAGTGAGGGTAAAAAGGAAATAGCAGGAGAGAAAGAAATGAAATGAATTAATGAATTAAGGGAGGGAGGAAGAGAGAAAAAGAGGGAAGGTGCAATGGATAGGAAAGGAAAGACAAAAGATCTTTGGAAGCAGATTGCCTGGCTTCACCAAATAAACCAAGTTGAGAAATGTTTAATGCTAAGGTACTGCTAGCATTCTGCAGGAGGAAGATCCAGTGCTTCCTGAACCTTTACTGACCCAGGGAAAGTACAATAAGCATAGACAATTAGAAGACCATAAAATAAGGTATTTCAAAATAATCACGAGAATTTTGAATAATATTCAGTATGGTGCTCTTTGAATACTTGCAGAAGACAGAAGTTACACCAAGGTAGTAGTTAAGGATCAGCACAGAAGGAGAAGTGCCAGACCTGAGTACTCACACAAAGATGATTCTTAGAGCAGCATAGGGGTGATGCATGAGAAAGAGAGGAAACTAACCCAACTCTACCTATTTGTTGACTCTCTGACCTCCAAGTGTTGGAAGTCCTGTAACAAGAGGCAGAAGAATCAGTCCAGCAACTACTGTCAATAAATAGAATATAACCAGAAAATCAACCTCACGATTATGTTTTATATTGTTGTAAGTGGTTTGCACACTTGTCATTCTGGCATGGGCCAAATAACAAAGAGAGAAGGCCATAACTGGCAACCATCACTGTCAGTCTTCTTAGGAGAATAAAGCAGATCATATCTCCATAGTACAAACCAAAGAAAGGCTGTATTTTGACCATATTGCTTAACTATAGAAGGATACTTTTATTCAGATACATGGTAATCAACAATTTCCAGCCAGATGTGGCAACTTCTAATGCGCGGAGAGAAGTTCTGAGCAAATGGCCACAAATCATCTTAAAAGTAACTTGATTTGCCCTAAATGGAGGGTAGTGATCTGGAAGTCAGTAGTGGTTTATGATAGGAGAGAGTGGGAGAGAGGAGGAAAAAGAGGGAAAAAGAAGAAAGAGAGAGAAAAAAACTCAGCTCATTGAGATTGGCTGAGGTTATTGAGACTGACTGTGGTGGGAAGGATAGAAATGCTAGTGAATGCAGAGGGGAAGAAATCGAGTAGTAGGTAGGGTGATAACTGAGGCTTGATAACCTGTCCGTGAGGCTGGAGGAGTTCCAACTCTTCCTCCAGGTAGCGGGGTGCTGTACCTGCTTTATGTAGGGTTCCACAGATGCTGTGTGGTATTATTTGCAAAGGCTAGATCACACCTGTGACCAAGCGTCCATTGAGTTCTGGCTTTCACTGGTATGCCCACCCTAAGCTATATGTAGCACCGCAGCAGGGGTGGGGGTGGGGTATTCCCACAGCCCAGTCTAGGGCCCCAGGGCCTGCAGGCCTCCCCAGCTATGTTTAGAGTCACTGAAAGGGAAGCTGAGCTTGTACTATCTAGGCTGCTGGTGTCCTACTTCTAGATCCGAGGCTTTAATTTTTATTTATTTATTTTATCTCCCTGGTCAGCTAGACTAAAATCAAATTAATTTGTCAAACACAGTCTCTAGTCCGCAGCTCAGTGCTGTTTAAAACTGAAGCTTGGGGGGAGGGGGAAAATAAAAAAATAAAATAAAATAAAACTGAACCTTGGTACTGCAGGTCTTTGTTATGCAAAAAGCTTCCAGCCCCTGCTGCTGGGTTCTGGAAATCCTTAGCTAGGTTAATTAATATGCTGATTTATGTTAAGGACCCCTGCCCATGTGCTCTTTGCTGCTGAGAGACCAGACTGCGGTTTAGGTTATTAACCAATAATATATATTTCATGCTGTGCTCTCACTGATTGCCTATTTTGCTATGGCTTGGTTTTTTATGCATATTAGTATCTCTACAGATCTATCTAGATAAGATAGACTGGATGAATAGTCTGGAGGAGAAAACCAACCGTTCCGGGGGGACACAGGAGAGGGGAGGCAGGGGTAAGGAGGTGGTGCTGACCAACCCAGGAACAGGGAAGCAACAAGTGATCCATAAACAGTGACAAGGAGGGTGCGAGAGGCCTGGTAGGGATTCAGCAAGAGCATTGTAACCGAGAGAAATCACTGAAACCCAAATGAAGGCTGACCATGATAGTGGGACAAGAGGAAAGTAAAGGGAAATAG